TAACCATGGCAATGAGATGATATACAATAGAATGAATGTAAAACCAATGTTCTCCCATGTAAACTATCACATAATTCACAATAAAACATTAAAAAAATATATTATTATCTCAAAACCTACTAGCTGGGAAGAGAATGATGGGTACTTTTTCATGTAACTTTTAGACTTTTTTGTTCTTGTTCATATATGTTTGTATGTTGTCTTTTACAAGATTATATATATTCTTGATCATTTATGATGTGGTTTTGCACAACTATTTGTTTTGAAGAAGGGGATACTACATGGTTTAAAAACCGGAAAGGTGTACATCAAGGTTGTATCCTTTCACTATACTTATTCAGTCCATATGTTGAACAAATAATCCAAGAAGCTGGCCTATATGAAGAATGTAGTACCGGGACTAGAGGAAGACTCATGAACAACTTTCAATATGCAGGTGACACAAGTTTGCTTGCTGAAAACGAAGAGGTCTTGTAGCAATGACTGATGAAAATCAAAGACTATTTACAGCCTTCAGTATGGCTTACATCTCAACTTAAAGAAAACGTTAAGTCCTCACAATTGGACTGATAAGCAACATTATGATAAATTGAGAAAATATTGAAGCTGTGAAGGATTTCATTCTACTTGGATCCAAAAATAACATCCAGAGAAGTAGCCATCAAGAAATCAAATGACGTATGGCTTTGAGCAAACCTGTTGCAAAAGACCTACTGAAAGTGTTAAAAAGTATAGATCTATGGGATTTTTAATTGCCTCACACGCATGTGAAAACTGAGCAGTGAATAAGGAAAACCAAAGAAGAATTAATATCTTTGAATTATGGTGATGCCAAAGAATATTAAATGTATCATGGACTGCCAGAAGAAAGACCGAATCTGTCTTGGAAGAAGCACAAAAGGAATGTTTCTTAGAAGTGATGTTTGTGAGACATTTTCTCAAGTACTTTGGACATGTTATAAGGTTTCGGGTCAGTAAAAAAAGAGGAAGACTTTTCAATGAGATGGATAGACTTGGTGGCTCTATCAATCTGCTCAGACATAAACAATGATTGTGAAAATGGGCAGGACTTGGCAGGATGGCACATGCTGTTATACATGGGGTCACTGTAAGTCTGAATTGACTCAACAGCACCTAACAACAACATATTTATTTTGAAGACCTTTATGTTTCAATATATGATATGTATTCTTAATATAACCTTTTTAAAAAATGTTTTATTGTGAATTATATGATAATTTACATGGGAGAACATTAGTTCTATATTCATTCTATTGTATATCGTTTCATTGCCATGGTTATAACCCCTCCATGCATTATCAACCAACCAAAGGGTATACCCTGCAAGCCTGCCCCCTACACTGCCACCACCCCGCCCAAGTCTTCAGCACATAGTCACTCTCCCTCTCTGGATCTAAAGTCCCCAGCTGCTCCATCGCTCGATGTCATCGTCTCTGCCTCCATCTCAGGTATCACTGCTTCTCTGGGTAGATTCCCACTCTCGGCTCTTCTCTGTTGATGATCCTAGGGACCTCCTCTCCTAGACTGGAAAGTGAATCACTCCCCTCCTTCCTATAAAATGTCTAGCTTTACATTTCCCACCCTCACAATTAGTCCTGATAACAATTATTCACTATTGTATCACAAGAGACCCATATGCATTTCATTTTATCAGCTCCGCCTAGACAGAGTGGATACTGCTCACTGGAGATTCTGCCTTCCTTCAGGCCCCCTGGTTCTAGGTTCCCCCTTGAAAGCCAGTCACTTCTTGCCTTTGTAGTCCCCCTCACCCCTCCCATTTTTGGTAGCCAATGTCTAAGTTGCCCATCCCTGTCTACTCTGTGTGTGGAGGGGATGGGAATGATTCTTGCTGTAAGGATTTGTTCCCTCTTTTGAGCTACTG